CTGGCAACAGTCTCAGCAGAAGAACCAAGAGCTGTAAAGTCTGATGTAAACTGACAAAAATCTAAAGGAGCTCTGACATGTGAAATATCTTGAGAGTCTCCTCCAAGGATATTGCTAACTTCTCATTCCCCCATGTGAAGTGACAATCAGTAGAGTAGATGTTCAATGTAGTACTTGAATGTCTTCTGATTTTTGAATGGTAAAGTGATACTTTTCCAAAGGAAGTTTCTTTTGCTAAATTATGACAGCTTTTGTGATTATAATTTAACTTTAAGGAAAGATCACTTAGCTACATCTTTACAAGCAAGTCTGAATTTATTTGGTATTTTATCCTAARTCAGAAATTTTGGGGTTTTTTTATGATCCTACCATTAGATTTTTTAATTGGAATTGCAATTAGTAATTGTTTCTTCCAAGCCCAGGAGAATATTCAAGGTAGGCTGTAAAATCTGTTCTGTATTTAACACATAAATAGAAAGTAAACTGCTCATTGCAAAGTAATTTCTATCAGCATGTGAAATGTTGCACTCAGCTTCTATCTCCTCCACCCTTGTAACTTTACCTAATATTAATATATTCAAGCATTCTTTCATGGACTACATCATTTCTACATAATTGATGTTAAAAATGTAATTTTCTAGAACTGATGGATAACCAGTTGTTTATTCATTGTATATGGGGGCTTTACTTTCCAAAATAGATTTTTAATAGACATCACATCAATTAATAGGTTTTTACCAGTCTTTGAAGATTAACTGAAAGCTGACTACTATTAAGAAGAACAGAACTCTGCTCTTTGGGCAGAAGTCTGACTGCTGTTATGAAAAATTTTTTTGACATCAATAATTATTTGATTTCTGTTTTTTTCTCCTATGTAGGCTGGGCTGAAATTACTTCACTAATATCTGGAGTCTTCAGATTTCCTTGATTGCAGTCAATGAGGCTTTTGACCTTAAGAAGGCAAGTRGAAGGCTCATTAACCGGCAAGGTCTTGGGAATATGAACACTGAGTTTCTGTGCCCTGCATCTGGATCAACTACTTTTATCACTTGTCACTTTTCTTTGATAGTTGCCTACATTCTTGGTATTGAATATTATGAAATGATGTGCCACCGATGGAGAGCATCATCCACTATTTGTTAAAAGACCTCAGAAAATAGCTCTGAATGATTGTATGGAAGTGGTCAAGGATAGGAACATCAGGCAGCTGTGTTCTTCATCTTGTTCTAGCCCAGTATATGAGATTTTTACCATTACTTATGGTAGGCCACAGCCTTTGAATCAACTGAAAGTGCAGGGATTCAGGACCTATCTGGATTTGTCTTGTCCTGAGCTTGTTTTAAAAATTTATAGTGTTTCTCTACTATTCATTATAAGATTTTAAGTGTAGCAGCTTTGGTTTTGTCAGATTTGGGTTATTTGACACTGAATTACAGTGACTGAGGAGGTGGAACAACTCTCTTGTCTCTCATTAGGATGACAGACCCCCAAATATTTATGAATTTGGCCTAATTTAAAGCTTTTCAAGACTGAAAATTTTCCTAAACATTCTAATAATATTCAGCTAAAATCRCCATTAAAGTTGTTTAATGGAGCTATTGCTTATGCAATTAAAAAATATATATAGGAATTTGTTCACTCAAATCCATCCCTGCTGAACTAARTATCCAAATGATAGCAGCTGTTGAGCATTTTAGATCACTCAGAAAATGCAATAAAAATCTGTTGTCATACTTGAAGTGCCCAGTTATTACATATAACCATTACATTAATTTAAAATTTTTTAGTTTAACAGAAGTGTCCAATAAGTCTGACAACAATTGAAAACTATTGCTGCTGATGGTAGGCAATACATAACTGTGAAAAATAGCAAATGCTCTAATTTTTGAAATGAACAGTGATATAAAGCCTCAGTTGTGCCTTTGTCAGCTGCCTGCAATGTGTGATGAATCTCACAAAGTGATGGGATGAGAAATCATTTGTCTTTCTCTTTTTTTTTTTTAAAAAACTTGCAACTACACTCACTTGCAAAGCAAAGCAATCCTTAGTCTCCCTTGCTGCAGTAAGACCCTTCTCACATAGGTGGGTGCAGGCCATAACAAGGCAAGGTACCTTAGCTTCTCTATCATCTTTGCTCTGAGACAAGAAAATCTAGCTCTTTCCAAGACAATTCCCGTTCCCATAATTTCTTTTCTAATGGAGCAGCCGCACACTTTTTGCTTAAATCAAGGTGCACTGGGGTAGCAGAAGCAGCAGGGCTGTGGGAGGAAGGAAGGTCTGGAGGGTGCAAGTTAGACTAGATTATTTTGGACCATGAATTCTCAGATTTAATTGTTTTCCACATGAATACAGAGATCAATATTTCCCTTGTGTCCGTTTGCTGATGGGGCTTGTCCAGCCTGGCAGACCATCTCTGAGAGGTAGCTGAGAGCTCACAGGGTCAGCTCTCTTTGTCAGCCCATAGAGGAAGCAGAGCAGGGAGAACACGGATGTTTCTGATTCTCTGGCTCTGTTGGCTCTATCAACATCACTCTTCACTCTTAGATCAAATTCAGGGTTTCTCTAAGATACACCTACAACCAATGCTCTGTGGGAACTCTTTGAGGAGCAAAACCTCCCCRTTGTTTTAGTGATGGAAACACTACCTGGAAGGGTATGGGAGGTTTATTTTGTTTGTTCTTTTAATATTCTTTGCTTATCCCATAGATGACCTTTCAGTCTAGGTACAATGTGACATTAACCAAACCAAAGAGAAAAGGTTTGTGATATTTGCTAATGACTTCTGTTGATCTGGGAAAATTTATAATAATTCACATTAACTCACTAATGCATACAGAGTGAAATGCATATTCATTTAGATTAGTTTATAGGATTAAAGGGGTTTACAGAAGCATTAAATCTGTAGACTTAAGTAATAATGTCTGAAAGCTAAGTCTTACTTAAATGTTTTTTTTAATGTTGTAAAATTTATAAAAAAATCAAAAATTAGAAGGAACATTGACGTATTTCCTTAACTTCAAGGTATGAAGTTGCTATAAGTATTACATAGATTGAATTGGAAAGTTCATCAAGAATGTGCATCACAGAAATGTTCGCTTCACTTGCATAAGTGCAGCTGTCATCACTGAAATATAATGATGAATTGTATGGTCTTGAACCAGATGAGCTGGAAAATGTTTCCTGGGCATAAAAGAAACCTTTATTATATAAGCATATCTGCTTATATGTAGTATATCTAGTTTGGGAAATAATAGGAATTTGTAKCAATCTTTGGACTACAGATGACACTGAAGAATATTCTTTGTAGCTCAGTATGAGATTTCTCACATGAAGGTCATATTGCAATGATTTACTTGTCTCCAGAGCAGGCTGCCAATTTTTCTTTAAGGATACTCTAGCACTTGTGTTTCTAATCAATGTATAGTAATTATATGGCTATACTTTGCCTCGATAGTGCTCACCAAACCTAAGTCAACGTCATTGGCTTTTTCTGTAGCTGAATTTGCTTGTTGAAATGATGGGGATATTTTTTTGCTTGTGTACTACATTATGGCTCAAATTTCCGCAATACTTTGCTACAGACACTTTTCATTTTTCACGGTTTTGTCAATGAACTCTATGCTCTTTATTCTAGTTAGTGGCGTTTGGAATTAAATTGTAGATACTTTCATTCAACCAATTCTTTTATTCGAGAGTTTCATTAAATGTACAGTAAAGCGAGACAATGAATTTTTATTAAAGTCTTTTGTACTTCATTAGAAATCCCTAGTCCCCTCCACATCCTCCCACCATCAATTTTGACTCTCAGGATTTCATGTTATTGTACTGAATTGTTCCAAAAACCATTATGCAACTATGAGTCATCTAAATGATGAGTACTTAAGACAATTTAATTTATAGTACTTATTTTCAGAAGTTAGCTATAAGTGCTGCCTACTCAACAGCTTTAARATGCTTCTGTAAGGCACATCTTGTTGGTAGCAGTAATGAAGTATAAATATACTTATATACTGCAAATCCATTTCTTGGGCTTATTAATGATTGTATTGCCCACTAAATATAGATTCCTGCAATGAATGRCAAGTTGCACAGATTCTCTTTTGTTTGTCTAAACATGTTGGTCACTGTTCATAGGGATTCCCAAGGAGGTTATATGTAGCATCTCGGATATCTCAATTTTTTTTGAACATGGGTATCTTTAGTGCTAAGGCAAAAGATGATTCTCCCTCTCCTCCTCAGAAAATACTGTAATTCAGATATTTCTGGAAAAAAAAAGCAAGCATTTGGGAAGTACTTTCAAATGACCAGAACATTTGTAAACTGATGTGAGTGGGTTTTGATGATATGAATCTTATAGTTAAAAATCAGGTAATCTGAAGTAATTCAATCTTTAGCCCAAATTCAGTTGTACCCCACATTAGTAATAAATAGACATCAGGTTCAGCTATCAGAATCAGATATGTGTGGGTTGTGAAATTCTCCTTCTTTACTTTGATCACTCAAATCCAATCAATTTCATGCAAAATAAATGTAAAATTTATTATCTCTTTTGCATCTGATGCACAAAGTTTTTTTTCATTTTTTTTAAAGCATTTTGCCAGTTCCCTCTGAGAAGAAAGATGTTTATGAATATTGGTCACTCCGTAATCATACTGTGTTATCTTGTAATTTTCTTATCAAATATGTTTGCATGCTTTAAGGCAGTAAACTCAATCCAAAGGTAATGATATATACTTAACTTGCATAGCAAGTGCCATCTTCTAAGTCATAAAACTGCGTTAAAATTCAGTTAATTATTATCTAAAGACACACTGGGTTTAAAGTTGCAGCGTCACAGAAGCCATGTTTCATTTAAGCTGCAAATTCTGAACGTGTGATTCTAAGCGACGTGTTTCCAAGTGATACGTGTGAATGCTGCTTTTTCCAGGATGCTTCATGACAAATAGTAGATAATTCAAGTAAATCTTTTCCAAGTGAAAACTTGGATGGTGGTATAGCCAATGAACCAGTTGGTGTTCGTCTGTGTGCTATGTGGCTTTGCTCCTGTGAATATTCGGYCAGCTTCAGGAACTGAATTCCAGTGTGATGGCTCCCCTGCTCCTTCTGGAGAATTGTGCGTTTTTGCTAACCAGTGYGGAGGCAGCAGTGATGCAAAAAAATGTGAGTAGCAGTGGGTTTCATCTTAAGTGCGATGCAGTTTGAACCTGGGAGGAGTGAGATTTGGAGGGGAAATTTCATGTTAGAAAAGTACTACGAAAATCTTTCTTACCCTCTTCTCCATCTGATTTTCTAAAATTTCTGAATTCTGAATTGATAGCCCTTGATTAATCTTTGCAACATTGAGATGCTGTAAATATGTTAGTTTCCACTTACCTTAGAGAATTTGAGAGTGCACTTGAACTTGTCTGAATTAACTTGCACCGGAAAGCTACTATTCTCATAATATAAACATACTTTGCAAATGATTCCATATGATGCATAAAATAGTTCTGCTCTTTGGTGTATCCTTTTTCTGAAGTATAAAAACTCATAATTTTAGCTAAATCAAACTCATAATTTTAGCTAAAGCATTAGACAGCTTCTCTCATTCAACATGCAACAAAGAAAGATACTGTATTTGCTATTTTGGGTTTTAGCTTCACATTTAAGTACAAGCAATCTTTAGATGATCTGTATGTTTTCTGACTCTGAAAAAGCCTAATTAGACCAATAATGTGATGATTATATTCAGTTSATCAGTGTGTTTGTGATCAGTGCATTCGGTGGAAAACTTGGAGAAACAGCAGCAACTTAACTTTGTGCCCCTCATATTGCAAATGTGTGTCAAGATGCCTGGAGTTCTGCTTGCGCCAATATGACTCTTGGTTTAATCTAAAAAAGACAAATATATATGTCTGGTACAGGAGCCTAAAATCAACTCTAGCATACTTGATCTGTTTTTCTCTTACTTTCATAATTTTATTATGCTAACTAAAATATAACCAGGTAGAAAAGGATGATGCCACTGGCTGAAAACTACAACTGTTCTATCTCTTGTGTCTTACTAATACATCTAAGTTTAATGTATCTTCTATCACTTGCAAAATTTACAGTTGTATGTGATATTTTACTGCATAGGCTTGAAAGTCTCCTTGTGTTTGGTCTTGGTTTCACTACAAACTTTTCCTCTGGGCAGGTTTCCATAAAGCAATTTCTACTATGTTTGCAGAATGAGCGGCAAGATATGCAATATGCACTCTTCTGTTAATTTTTATGAAGGCTTTTTACACCATAAAGTATAAGCATTTACACCATAAGCAATATAGTGCTACAAAACAATGCTCTCTATGAAAATAGGACAAAAATAGAAAATAATGGTAAGATATTTGTTTGCATAAATTGTTGCCAGTGGGCAATGCAACAAAACTTAATACCAAATAATGTTGTATTTAAATTGAAGTTGAGCATTAGGTGTCAAATTGGGCTTTGAATGTAAGTTGTGGATTCTAGGATTGCTTTGGTTTATGGTCTGGATCACATGAGTAAGGAATTTAGTTCTCAGTTGCAAAGAATCAGAGTGTTGTTTTGAATATTTTTGCCAAGTTATTGTTTTCATTTTTTAACAAGTTGTTGTTTTCAGGGATGGAATTTCAGATGACTCTTTCAATGCCATTTTGCACTTGTGAGTGACGAGGTCGGTTTGTGCTTTGCTCACAGTATGAGGAAAGCAGTGTCACTACAGTCACTTTGAGATGTAGACTTTAAATATTTGTTTTCTTTGCAAGAAATTCTGCAAAAAGGTCTAGAAACCCCCCCCTTTTTTTTTTCTTCTGCCCTCTCTCTTTCAAAGCAATAACTTTTTTTTTTTTGTAAATCTGTATTTCAGAAAAAAAGTTATATTGAATTGCTTTCAAGATAGATGTTCTGTGAAAATGACTCTATCCTTTAAAACGTAATCATGAATGATTAAGGTTTTAAATGTAAAAAGAAACTGTGCTTATTACTCTGTACTTGTTGATTTTAAATTGTTTTTTTTTTTCTAACCATGAGAACATTCCTGTGAAATTATTGAACATATTTTAGGTGTTTTATGTAACATGAGGTGCTCCAGCAGTACTTGTTTTTGATGAACCGTTGATGTGCTTTTCAATCACTTAAAGAGCTAAAGAATAAAAACAGCAGTAAAAAGTTGGCTGATGAATCAGCCAATCTGCACATTAACTTGAGTCTTAAATGCTTTCATGAATTATGTTTTTCCCCTTTCTTGCCTTATAATTAACTGTTGCAGTAAGTTGTTGTGAATATGAAAGCCATGAAATTGGACATCATAGCGTGACTATAAACGTAGCAGTTGCAATTTTATTTAAAAAGATCAGTGAACTGTGGCAATCTAACCTAGAATATAGAATAGTCCGAAAGTGTTGTCAGCAGGCTTGAGGTGAGCACTAATTTGGGAGGAAGCACAAAGAGTCTCTAGGTCTCACATTTAAACCATTTAAACAGAAATACTAATTGGAAAGCAGAGTCTCAGCCTGCTCTTCTCCTCAACATCAGGGGAAAAACAGATGAACTAAAAGGTGACACAGTGCATGAAATCTGAAGACAATCTTGGTATAGTTCCCTGCTGTTTAGGATGGAGGTGAAAAAAACCTGCTGTCCCTCTCCCTTTCCTTGGAAGAACTGTTCCACCAGGCTGGATCCATTGCTGGGAGCACACATTTTGCACCCTTTTTCTAAACTCTGTCACCCAAGGGGGAAATATGAGAGGGCAGGAGAAACAGTTCTTACCCACCATATTAGACTATGCTCTCTAGAAGAACAAGCCAGTGGGAAGGCAAAGAGGGAGGAAAGCATGTGTTGTAGCATGTGTTACTCTGAGCACTGCATGTTTTCTCTGGTGAGTGTGTTTTGTGTTAAGGTAGCCGATTATCAAGCAGAATAAGCCCTGGTAAACTTTGTAGCATGGCAGATGACAAGAGCCTCACCTCTCTGCTATTAGGCCCTATGGGCTTTTGGGGACCAGGCTCCTAATCTGAACATATACCCAGTAAGTCAAAGCATTCTTACACAGTTTTATTGTTGTTGTTTTTTAAGATTCTTCCTCTGAAAAGTGTGACTTTGAAACTGACTTGTGCCAAACCTTTCCTGAACTGAATTTACAACCTGGATGGATTAGAAGAAATGGCCGATCTGGTTTGGGGCCACCTTACTCCGACCGTACTGGGAATGACACTGGTAAGAATCTTCAAGTCCTTTGAAGGAAGCACGAACTTATATAATGTATATTATGTGTGTGTCTATTTTTTGTACTCAAATTTCTTGATAGTTCAGGTGAATTCAGCCACCTGTTTTTGAGATAAAATGGAGAGATGTCGGGGCTTTTACACAACTGTAATTGCAATCGCCCATATCCCCAGAAAAAAAGATCTGTAAAGCCGCTCTTTGAGAAATAAAGAATGAGCCATCAAGACTTATGTCAATATGCATTGACTCTCCATCAGTCAGCTCGGCCTGTTTTGGAGATATGTGGTTATAATTTCTGTCTTGATAGCTGCAAACTGTGGAAGTGAGAACTGGATCCTCCTGTTTGAGATCTATTTACATCTCTTCTTGGATTGGCTTGAATGCCCAGAGTATACATGTCAATTATCTGTGAATAATATTACTATTCCATATATTTTTGGTGGAGAGAAGGTGACTTTGGATCTGGGAATTGGAAGAGCTTTAATAGCGTGTGTGAGCCAGTTTCTCTCTCAATGTTATTACATTTCCACTTTGCATCAAAGATTGTCCCTCAGCTAGGCAATTAATTGTCCCCATACATCCTGTCTTATGCTTGTCCAATCTCCAAGTTAACCTTATTTTCTAAAACTTGTTTTCTTCTTTCCCTAGTACAAGAATTTCTTGACCCTTTTTTTTTAAGCTGACTCAACATTTGTTCTGTTTGTCTGTTTTTAAAGCTGCAGTGCACCTTTTCCACTTTACAGAACCAGTGTTGTAAGAAAGCAAGGAAGGAAGGAAAGAATTAGATGGGCATTCTCTATCACAGTAGAAATGTGGGCTGGATGAAATAGTCACTGCAAAAAAATTGTAAAGTTTTTCATTTACAATATATATAATATATTCCCACAAGTCCTCATTCTATAGCAGAAAACTTTCATGATATTCCACGATCATGAAGCTTCACCCATGCAATGTACTTCTAACACTTTCACTCTTTGCTAATGTGTATGCTATGCTTCTGAAAATAAGAATCTTTTTGAGGAGTGCTGAGTTAAACTAATATTATTGCAAAAAACAGAGCTACTATCCAGGACATTTTGACAGCGTTAGGTTTTAATCTCAAGTATGAAAGCAGTGAAACATTTTGTCTTTAAAACAATAATATCAAAAAGCAGATAAAATACAAATACTGTGGAATAAAAATATAATGAACTCTAGGATAGGGTCAAATTAAGCAACCAGGCAATATAGTCTTGCTCTAGCTGCAGATTCTAGGGCATTATATTTTGTTTAGTAGCATATAGCAGTCTTTCAAGAGGTAACAAAGAGCTTTAAATCTTCTTGCCTAAATCCAATGAAGGACACACTCATTTTGCTAAGAACTTGTGAGGAGAGAGAAAGGCGGAAGAGATGGCTTAGGTAGGCATTCAAAACTAGCACAAGAGTGAGAACCAACAACTTCAAGTGTTTAGTACAGAGCTTGCAAAGCTGCTCAGTCAGAGGGAAAGAGATCACCCATATATTCCTGTCCACTGGTCCTGTGAGTTCAGTCAACATTATGTCTGCCATGTCTAAACTGAATTGCAGCCAAATTTGTGTAAGTTCTAATGGTCATTTATCTCCTTATAGTAACTCATAACCTTTTCCTACTGCTGAGCTATACTGAGCTATAGCTTTTTTTTTTTTTTTTAACTTAAAAAAAAACCTTTTTTTTTTTACTTTTACTTTTTTTTTTTTAACTTAAAAAACAGAAAAGGCATTGTATGGCAACAATTGAGTCCTATTGCATGATATTAAAGGCAGTGATATCTGCCCTCATGATAAGTAATTGTGTGCACATTAACACAAAGAGCAAAGTTCATGAGGCAGATGTAATGCCCTTGAAGATTTACGTAATCATTTACTAGAACCCAACTGGTTTTCTTTAGCTTTCTCTTTCTCCTTTTGGTTCTTATTTTCACTGATAACATACCTGGACAAGCTGATGAAACTATTCTAAAGAGCTGGTTTTTTACTCATTGAAATCTGAGTTAATCTGCAGAGTTAAAATGCAGAATTACTTTCAAAGAAGTTTTAAGAAAATCACCATTTCTGTCCCATCTATGTTAGGTTAATCCTGTGGCAGATGAAACCTGATTTTTGCATGTAAGTCTCAGATACATTTGATTTAGAAAACTAAAAGAAAAAAGTTCAGTATTTACGGGTAGCATGGACAGCAAGCCCTTTGTATGGGGAGGACAAAATCTCCACTCTGTAACAAGGTATTTTCCTGTACAATCCCAACCCAGGCCCATATTTAATTTCATTTTCCCAAGCAATGCTGCCTGTTTTAATAAATCTGTCTTATTGATGACAATGGTTGCTCTTTTTAATGCAAAAAATATGCAATATCCTTAATAATTGTGATTCGAGTTCTTCAACTAGCTTACTAAGCAAATCTTAGCTTTGTTCAAAAAATTGGCATTTATTAACTGAGTGTTCAGTCTATCTACACATAAAAATTTTGAAAGCCTACTTGATATTTCGTCTGAAACATAAAGAGAAGTGCTGTGTCAATATTTAATATGAACAAAAGCTCTGCACCCAATGGTTGCGATTGTGGTGTGAATCCTTTCTGAGGAAAAAATGTCTCGTCTTTTGTTAGTAATTTGTACCTGTGTGTTTATCCCTGTTCTACTTTTTTTTTTTTTTTTTTTTTTCCAAACTACTTAACGTTTTTGATTCTTCTTACTAGCTTATTTCCTCTCATGGCCTTCTGAAATGGGATCCTCCTCTGCAACTTTAAGGAGCCATGCTTTCCTTCCAACTGGAAAAGAACATATTTGCCAGGTATTTTGATGTATAGTCCTGGTAATCTGTCTTTTGTCACAGTGCTTCCCTGGAATAATCAGACATTTTTGTCCTAGATTAAGTTTTATTATTGGATCGGTCAAATTAATGCAACATTGATGGTGGGGCTTCGAGAGCACCCTGAGGATACCGTTAAAAATATCTGGCAAGATTCAGGAAAACGGCAAAATCAATGGATAGCAAATATGATCACAATCAACAGCACTGAAAAATATGAGGTTAGTATATTGCACTCAGGAAATATTTTATAAATCATGTTTTGTAATAGGGCAAAACTCAGTGAAGATAAATATCTTGTACATGGGAAGTATTACCATAAGAGAAGCCATTAGGAAGCTCATGAGTGATAATAACAAATATTGCTTTTTCTCATCTCAACAATGTTAATACTAACACAAAATCTCGTTTAACTGTGCATATATATATGTACAGTTTAAGCTGTGCATATATTTAAATTGGTGCCTGACCATAGGAAAAATACACTTAGGAGCTTAACTTTGATTACTCTTTTCTCTTACGCTCTAGCTAACTGCACTGTTAAACTGGAAACTTAATTTATAAATATTTTCTGAGAGTTTCTACAGGCACATTCCTGGTGACATACTTTGAATTTAACTATTCATTACAGATTTACTATTCATTGTAGCTTTGAGCATTTATCACAGAACACAAGCATACGGTTCTATAATGCTCAGAATTGCTGAAAAATAATGCAAGTCTCACAGACTATTCTAATATTTTTATATATTCATTTACACAAAACATTAGCACAATAAATGTAACTCAGGGCGATAGTATCAGAGAAAATGTATGCTCCCTATTATGCAAAATACTGGAGGGGAACAGAGGAAAACAGAAGCAAATTGCATATATTTTCTTCTACAGAGTTGGATACTGTGAGGAGTTGGTTAGCATGCCAACTCACAGGCATTCTTAGGGTAAGCACAACCTCATTTCAGTAAACTGAGAGAATAACATCATTACCTGACTTGTAACATTGTGCTTAAGGACACAAGATCGAAATTTTGAAAACAGTATTTACCTTCTCAGCCATTGACTGAAAATATATATTATGAAATAAATGTATCTAATTCGATAACTTGCCTTTGTCTGAGTGGACATGCTGCAATGAGATTATATTGGCAAGATGTAGAAAATTGACTGGATCTAGGGACAGTTACTGTGTTTGGAATCTTCTTCCTTAAAATTTCTGGATCAAATCTTAATTAGATTGTGTCTGAGGCTAACAAACATTGCTACCCTTTAGCCAAAGGATAAAGCTCTGTAAAGAGAACTGATGGGCACAGTTCATCTCTAAAGAGGCAGACATCAAACTTACAATTGGCTCCAGAGGGTAGCCAGGCACCTCACCAAATACAGCAGTTGAAGCTGAGCAACTTGTACTCTTCTGTTTTGCATTTTCCCACCAGTGACATTTTTCAGGATGTTGGTCATTCAAATGAATATAACTCAGCTGACCTTCAGAACATGTCATTTTGAAACTACAAGGTCTTCAGACTTATAGGGATGTCTGTAGCATTTTTTAACAGTGGCCAAGTTGTGCAAAAATGTAGTAGGAAAAACAGAGTAAAATTTCCAAGCTACTGCGTTTCACTGTATAAACCCATATATAAATAAACCTATATATAAATAGTCAATTAAAATTGAGTGTGATATGGTGACATTAATATTTTGTACAACAATTACTCTTTCCAAGTATACAGCAATATGAAAGATAGTGATAAGTCAACAAGAACAAGCACTTCAGCAATTTAAAATAAAAACTGGTATCAGGATTGCCCCTTCCTTCCTAATATTGCATTTCAAAGAGCTGCATTTTTCCATGGAGTTTCTCTCATCAGCTGTTGCATAAACTCACAAGATGGCATTGTTTCTTAACAATACTATACTAGAAAATGTAGTTGTTCCAGGTACCTGCTAGCACTGCTCTGTTTGGAATACTTGTTAAAGAAAGTGGTTCCTGGCCTTTCTTCTATTTGCTGTACTGGAAAAAGAAAAAAAAAATCATGTGCGTCACTAACTTTCATTGGTGATGTGCCAAGACACATTCCCTAGTCAGATAATACAAAGACCACTTCATAAACTGTAATGCTTCTTGTGCAGGTCATGTATAGTTGAGGAAAGGGAAAGGGAAAGGGAAAGTGAGAGGAGAGGAGAGGAGAGGAGAGGAGAG